GCATTGCCGCTCGAAAGCAGCAAGCACGCGTGCTGCAAATGACAGCATGAAAACACATATGCACACCTGGACACCCGCGCTCCCGGCCCTTATCGCAGGTAAATTCCTCCACACAGAGCGGTTATTTGGCAAGATGCATGCATCTAGACGGGGGAGTGCAATGCTCAATGTTCAAAAATAGAGAGGTGCAAAGAGACAATAACGTGTAATACATAATAATTTTTTTAACGAATGTTTGTTTCGTACTGGAATTTTTTAAGGTAAAAACAAAAATAGTAGATAAAACTGTAGCAAAGAAGACAAACTTTAAATTTTTAACTTATTTTGACTTATTTAAAATAACAACAATTTTTATTCAAAGCTAACACTCGTTATAAAAAAATCCGGTTTCAATATTTTATAGTCTTTTAGTTCATTAAAAATATATATCATAATTAATTTGTTTTCTCTATTTTATCAAATATAAATATCTTAACGATTCAGATAAGGATGTATACTTGAAGGTGCCTGCACCCTGCACACTATTTGTACGTTTTAGCACCATTTTTAAATTCTCATCAATCACACAACAGAATTATTATCAATGAAAATGAAATTAAATAAATTTTCAAAAATATATTACCCAAAATTTTGTAAATTTATTATATTTAAAACTTAATTCATTGAGCTTTGACACTGTTTTTTTTCTCCTTCCACAAATTTTTGAATCTGTTTGCGCCTCTCTGTTTGATAAAGTTCTTTGTCCCTCTTCGTTGTGAAGAGGGCACGCGCCCGTTTCTCCCCATGTTGCACACATTCAACAGGCTCCATTCTTGCGGGGGTTTGTAATCCGAAGCGTGCAAATTTCAGATATAAATCACTATTTAATTCGCAGATGGCGTGGGTCTTGGTGGTCTCCAACTTTGCAACGTCTTTCGAAATGAGGCGTGAATTTTCTCTTTTGTGCATGCCGTCGAATTTGAACAATGCTATTTATCTGCTGAAATATATTGCTCTCAAAAAAGTTCGAATTGCTGGCCTAAAATATTTGGCAGGATTAAGAAATCAACATAAAATGGGTTGATCAGTGAGAAAAAGATTGTTTACGATGGGCACCCTGCAGCTCTTTATTTTCGGCATTTTTATCGCCAGAATAAATCCGCAAGAACAAAAGGCTCTAAATATCGCCGGCACGCAATAAATTGCCTCGGCCGAAAAGCCATTGAAAAGAAAATTCACGAGCGAGAGATCGGCACCTAAGGAGGCAGCGCGAGGCTGTCTAATTCTAGTAAATCATCTCACACCTACAATCAAACCTCGAAACGAATAATGAGAAAAAAGAGACCATAGAGTGCATCTCTCTCGATCGCTCATGTGATTTAAAATGTAAGGCACCGCTCTTGTGTTTTATTGAAGAAAAATTACACGTTCTTTCCGACGTGTTCGGGATATTGGAACATGTGTCAGAATGTAGAGTTTTGATGATACATGATGTTATATAGCCCCCTATTGAGAGTTTCTTTCCATTGTGGGTGTGTCTCTTTTCTTTCTCTCAATAATAAATATATTTATTCTCACAGGCAGCATCCTTTTGGTCATTGCATTGCAGCCGCGTACTTTTTCCCCGCAGATGCTATCGCGCACAAGAAAAGGAGCAGCGCCGACTTGAGACAGATGTTCTCCAAATCACGGCCCACACCTCCAACATCCACCTACAATCGTAACCTGAAAAGGTATGCGCTCCTTGAAAATTTTGATGCCCTAGGTTGTATGTTTCAAGGTGTAAAAAAAAATGCATAATAAATTTCCATGCGGCTTTTCTCATCTTTTTCTAAAGACATAAAATTTAAAAAAAAAATCATCCCGCAACTTTATAATATTATTACCCAGCTCGCACACCGTTGCATGCCAGTCGTCTGCCAGTTATTGGTCAGCATTTAATGCCGATCATCGGCCGGCAATGCATTGGCATTCAATTTTCCCTAACGCTTGCCAGTCGTCTGCCAGTTGTCGGCCGGCAGATGACCGTCCGTTGCATGCCAGTTGCATGCGCATTCAACGTAAATGCATCATTTTTCTTTCCACTTTTGCATTCCTTTATTTTCTTTTTCTAATTTTACAGATTAATGAATATTTAGAAAAAATACATAGAGCCTATATGCAATGACTGCATTTTATATTTTTGAATATTTTTTTTACCAAACTTAATTTGGATTCAGTATAATATAAAATGCAGTCTTTACATAGGCTCTATGTAATTTTTCTAAATAATAATTAATATGTTAAATTAGAAAAGGAAATAAAGGAATGCAAAAGTGGAAAGAAAAATGATGCATTTACGTTGAGGCATATAATAAAAATTGTTCATTTCAATTTTTATAATAAAATGTTAAAATAATTTTAAATAATACAAAAAGTAATTTTTAAATTAAATTTATAATTTTTTAATACAACATTTAAAATTTAAACGTAAATACATGATGCCTCCGTTGTGATATTTAAATGAATTTTTCCATTAAGCGCACGATTTAATAAATGAACCACACTCATAAGTCCACACCAATTTGGGAGCTTGTGTTTAAGCGCGTACTGGCCTTCCTCCGTATAAACGCTGCATCAAGAAAATGGTCTGAAAAATAATAATAATACCAAATTTGAAGTCTGCGAACCGTTAATATTAAAACTAAATTTATTTCAAATAGTCTCGTTCAAATCTATTCCTTTTGATTTATTTTAAATTCAGCAGGATGTTTAATAACTCCGGTTTAGCAGCAAAATGCGGGGTGCAATATGGAACATTAAATTTAGGATTTGTATTTACCTTCAAAGTTTCACAAAATCGGGCCATTTTCATTGATGAATCCAAGGAACAGACACTCAAAATACTTAAAAACTTAAAACTGGGCATAAAAGTGATGAATTCTTAAGGATGTTCAAAGATTTTTGGGACAAAACTCAGACGGACGAACTTTGCAACGAACTTTGTTTGGAAATAAAAATGCTTTCAATGATCGATGACCGCCGAAGTTTCCAATGATTCGACCGCAGTGACATCTTCGTTGTCTGCCGATTGCTGGTCGGCATTAAATGGGCATTCAATGCCGATCGCCTGTAACGCGCCTTCATTTAGCTTTGGCGCTCTCTCGCGCCAAAGTCCCTTTCGTTGCATGCCCGCGATCAACTGGCAGACGACTGGCCGACGATGCCTGCAATCGGCAGGCAATGCGGACGTCGGCCAGATAACTGGCAGACATTCGGCATGCAATAGTGTGCGCGCTGGGTAGTTGCTACCTTAATTAAAACTTGATTGGCAATAGTTCCATATATGACACTTGGATTTCTTTAATTTAAAAGATTAATGGGAGATGGTGTTTTCAATAGTTAAACACTTTATTTTTGTATATAATATTTGATTTATTTATTTAAATTTTTTAAATAAATAACTAATATTTAAATTAACTGCTTAAAAATTTAAGAAATGCTTTGTATGACTTTTTAAAATTACAATATTGTACGTCCTTCATTTTCAAAAATATCCGTTAAATTTTTGCTGCTTTTAAATGCAAAAAGGAGAAGGCGTTTATATGAATAAATCACTCGGCTATTTGCAAACAAAATTTGTAACTCGAGTTTCACATGCGAGGGTGCTGTAAATCACCTCCAGCAGCACCTCAATATTTATCATTCCCTCTTTTATATTCGAATATTTATGCAGTACTGGTTTTTTTTTACAAAATTTTACACCCAACAGCCATCAGTTTCAAATTTTGCAGGAAACTTTAACGCTGAAAACGATAAATCAGTTATTATATTTTATTATTGTGGAGCACAAAGGCGTTTAGCTTTGAGTGAGCGTGGACAATAAATAACACAATCAAACCAACCACAACTGGACCAGAAAAATTAAAATAAATCAAATTTTATAGGCGCAAGTCAAGTGGTAAACATTTATCGTGCGTGTCGTTTTTGAACTTTCTTTAACTCTCTTGATAATGAAACGCGGCGGCGGAGCAAGTTCTCAATTAACATCCTATACAAGAAAGAGTCCCAAATTTTGATTTACGCGGCTTTCAAAATTACACCAACTCGGCCTGTGACCTCCTGCGGTGGTCCGTCAGAGTAATTTTCCCACAAATTTAGAATAAATGTGAGAAACGTAAAAAAAAAAACTGGAACGAAACTGATCGTATTTAATTTATAAGCGGCGATTAAAAAACATATTTTTCTGCACGGAAATTGTCCAAAAATATGTAAATTTATTCAAATGATACAATTTTAGCAGCAGGCAATGTATAAATTAAAAATGTCCACATCTGCGTGTGTAACGCTCGCTCGGCAAGAACACATGTATCAATTGCGGCTGCTGCGGCTTCGGGTTTTTTCTCTCACTGTCAGTGCGAGTACATAATATATTTTAAAAAATCAGCTGGTCTCGTGTCTGCAGACGATCAATTCTTGTCCGTTTGCGATCGTTTTTGCGGCAAGGCGCGTGTCTTTTATTATTCTTTCGATGGGTGACCCCCCTCCATGAAATGGATAAGAATACAAAAAAAAACTGTGTTGTCTATTCTTTATCAGAAAAAGATGCAAGCCACCTTTCGCTTTTGCATCTGCCTTTCATTCTCCTTTGAAACGGATTCCGTTACGTCAAAAAAAGAACGGGCCGATTGAAAGAGTGGAATTTGAGAATTTAATCGTTTATATAATGGTCCAGAAATTCTACCGAGGGCACAGATTCTTCTATGATTGCCCTAGAATTATTGCAGATGCAAATCAGATACTCTCAATCAGCAACAGGCTGTCAGAGCCTCAAACATTTTATAAAAAGTCGTTATAAGTGACAGTAAATAAAATAAACATTGATCATTTTAGAATTAATTAATAGGGAGTTTCAAGATAAAAAAAAATTAATAATAATAATTAATAATAATAAAGAGTTTAAAAAAGAAAAAAAAATAAATATATAAAATTACTTTTACAGCAACTATATAATCAACATATTCCATCTAATATTGCAATAATTAGCCATTGACATCTTTAGGCGTAGTGATGGCGTTTGCAAAGCCACCCAGAAAGCCACCAACCATGTTACCAATGTCGATGCCTCCAAAGTTCCTCTGATCGTCGGTGGGCACTGCAGTCGTTTCTGAGTTGGCCTCATTGATCAAGCTGTCCACGTCAACGTAGTCAAATTTGGTGGTCGTAACTGTGGTCGGGCGAGTTGTGGTTGGACCAAAAGGGCGCCAAGGTTGGGGGAAAGGAGTGGGTTGAAACGAGACTGGTGGTCTGAAGGTTGGTGGTGCGAATGTCTGTAGAGGAGGGGCAAATATTGGCGGTGTTGCTCTGGTTAATACCAGCGGATTAAACGTGGAAAATACGGGAGGTCGCCAAGTTGTAAGAGTTGAAGGAATGTGAATGTATTGAGGTTGAGGGATGACGAACGTTGGCGGCTGATATCTTTCAATAGCTGTTTTCAATGGTATTGTGGAAGTTGAAATCGTTGTCCTTTGTGTGGTTGTTTCAGGGGTCACAGTTGTAGACCAGCTTGACGAAATTGTAAATGCAGTTGACAAAGATGAGTCTTTTTTTAAGGTTCCGGGCGTAGAATTTCTTACAGACGATGAAGGTATTGTGTGATTTGTGGCTGAAAATATGTATATTTATTATTAATTACAAATTTTTTAATCGGAAGATGAAATTTAATACGTTTGCATTTCAATAAAATACAAACTATTACTTTTAATAATTCGCGTGATTGTTTCAGGGGCCACAGTTGTTGCATAGCTCGAAGAAATAGTAAATGTAGTCGATACAGATGAAAAGGTTCCTGACGTGGAGTTTCTTACAGACGATGAAGGTAGTGTGTAATTTGTTACTAATATGGCTGCTGAGACAATTGAAATTTTAAAGTTAATGAAATTCTATACTCGTTTAATGCAAAAATATTTACTTTCGGTATCGTTTGTCTCAATTTTCAAGTCCATGTCAATGTCAGTTACATCTGCTTGATCCTCATCAATCTCACCATTATTAACATTAGCTGTGGTGTCTTCATCAGCTTAAAAGTTGATTATTAAAATAGGAATAAAACAGAATTAATGCGAATATATGTTTACCATTATTTTTTAACATCGCTCTACTAGTGGATGTAACATTAGTTGTTGAATTTGCTGTCAGCACAAAGAATTTCACCGAAGAAGCCTTAATAGTTGAAACCTCACCAGCTTTTTTGTAAGTGCAGAATATTAAAAATTACTTGATTAAAAAATAATTCCTGAAATTTGAATTTATACTCTCTTCTAATGCATCTAGAACTTTAGTAGTATTTTCTTTTTCAGTTTTCTTCAGTTCCATTAATCCAGTTAGCTTTGTAGTTATTAGCGTTGATTGTGTCTGAAAAAATTCTGCCTCAGTTTTGATATCAATTCCCGCAGTTCCAATAATTGAGGAAGGTGAAAATGATTCTTCCAGCTCATTTTGGTCTTTCTCTTCAGTATCCTCATTATTGTCATTCAGCGTGGAATTTTCAGGTGCTGATATGTTTTCTTTTGTAGTTGGTAATGTAGTGGTTTTTGTCGTTTGCACAATTGAATTTATTGCTTTTAAGGAGATCCCAATATCAGCCTTGCTTGTTTTTGCAATTTGTTTTTTTCCAGTGATGTGATTATTCCTTAAAGTGGTCCTAACAAGGCGGCTCGCTTTCTTCGTGGTCAGTTTACCAGATTTAGCAAAGATCCTATTTATTGTTAAACGCTTGGCGGACACAGGTGTCTTCTTTGCAATCACAGCTGCTCTTTTTGTAGCCTTGGCCACGACACTTTTCCGTGCCTTGACGGAAGAGAAATTTGCAGTAGTTGTCAGCTGCCTGACCAAGAAAATCTTGAGAGGTCTTCCTGGATTGATTCTAAAAAATTTGGGAATTTTCAGTTGCATCTGAGGCCGACGGGTTTTGATCAAGTCTCCAGAAGTGACTGAAACTGATTGGAAAATTTGTTCTGCTTCAGATATTGGCGTGACTTCTTCCGTTTGTGTCAATTGGATGTCTAAATTGTAAAAAATTCATTAAGCAGTAAATTTTTTGATTTCAAAAACTCACCGACTTGCTTGTTAAATGTGTCTGTAGGTGCAGAATGAGAAAGCTTTAAATATTAATGTAATCAACAATAATTTTTACTTGAAACTTTTATCACCTTTAAAGTATGAAAAGTGGCGAGAAAAGCGATAAAAGAGACAGTGTTCATCATTTGATATCACATTTTTAAATGAAACTGGGTCATATATTATTCGAACGAGCAGGTAACGTTTGACCTTGTGCTGGAAAATGTTTGATTTTCAATGACAACCATCAACGGAAGTAATTCCGTTTCATGATTTTAACTGACATAGTGCTAGTGGTATAAATCTTTATAATTAATGTTGAGTACTCTAATAAAATTATTATTATTATTATTGTTATTATTATTTATTATCACAATCTATTAATTAATTGAGTTAAAAATCATAAATAATATTGTGTGCTTGATTTCATCGGGATTGTGAGAGGACCATTAAGTTGAAAATGAAAGCCAAGTTTTAGCTTTTCATTACAAATATTTGATCAAAACTAAAAAATTAAGATGAAGTTAACTAAAAATATCACAATAATTTAAATGCCGTATAGTATTTAATCAATCGTTCAGCCATTAATAATAATTTTAGTCAAACATCAATATCCACACATCAATGGACACATAGTAACGGAAGCTTTTATATCATCGACCTTGCGTAAGTGGTTCGCTAAAGTTTTATGACGTCAAAAGTTTGGAGAATCTCCGAATTGATTCTGAATAACAAAGTGATTTAAAAAAATCAGTCTATTAAAGTTATTAAAATTATTAATATTATTAATATTTATTAAGTTATTTAAATAATTTTTATACCTTTTTTATTTTTTTAAATTATATTCATTTGCAGCTAAGGTTTTTAATTATGAATGTTTGTACTGCAAACCGCAAGGCACCTAATCTAATCAGAAAAATGTTCCAATTGTTGCATTTGAATTGAGAAAAGATACTCTTTTATGATCTTGCAGACGGCGCGGTAATTTGTGGAGCAAAAATTAATTCCAATGTGCAAATTACCGCCGCGGCGCGTTATTTTTAATTCGAGATGACTAATCAAATGTGCATTGTGCCAAGAGATTTCTTACGTCGCCTCGCCTGCCTGCCATGAGTGACTGACTGGCCGAACGAGTGAGAGCTGCATTAAAAGTTGTAGGCGCAGTCACTGATTAGAGCCGCGTGTAGTTAAAATGGATTAGACAGCAATTTGCCTTGGAAATTACAAAAACCAGCTATGGTGGTTGCACTAGTGGTCGCACAGAGCCAGAGGTCGCACATTTTGGCAAATAAAGCATGTTTTTCATTGTTTTATGCCGCAATATTGGTATCATAAGTTTCTGACATCTATCGGCCATAGATTCAACTCGTAGAAAATATGTTGCATTTGTGTAAAGAATGCGCAATCGTGAAAAAACATGTTTGAACCGGTCATCTGCTGACTCTTGCTTACTCTCGAACTTCAGGACGTGTGAGTAAATAGCGTTTTTGATAAGTTTAGGAAGGCTGACGTGAAAAATTTCAACCATGGCTAGTATGTGTATTGTATTAGGATAAAGAATATGCATAAAAACTTTACGAAAGCCCTTTCAAACCCACAATAATTGAGATTATCTGCTGTGCGACGATGGGTGCACTCGTTTACTCCTGTTGTCCCATAAGTCGCACAGCGCATTTAAACTCTTCTGTACTCAATCAATAATCAATATGTATGAAATAATATTAGTGAAATTTAAAATTTACGCTCTGAATGAACCGATGAGTCCTTTACTTTTGCAGGCATGACAAATTAAATAACATTTTGATGGCCTTACAGTTTTCTGCATTCGAGAAAGTGTTCACTTCAGAGTTTCCGAGAAAACGGCATGTCATAATTATGTCTACTTGTTAACAGTTTACGAAATTAAAATTGTTCTCACAAATTAATTAACTTTTTTTTCAAAATTTAAAGATCTTTGTTTCAGAATGACTTTGTGAAATTCACAATCATGTTAATATTTATACCAGAATACCTATTTTATTTTTAAAACAATTTGTAATACATATAATTTTATATTTCTAGTATATAATTAAAATAAAATTTATAGTATTTTTATATTTTTATATTTAAATTTACTAAATTTAAATTTCAAATTTAATAATTAAAAAAATTTTGCTTTTAATATAACTCAATAATTGTGTGGGTTCAGCAATCGCATCTCTTTTGATTGTCGGGCATTTTAGCAGACCTCTGCTAGCTGTGATACCCTTTCTGCTCAATTCTCCAATTTCAATTTCTTTTTATATGACTTGAGTAGAATAAATTTTAATTAAAACCATCTAAATTTAAAAAAAAAATGCGTTTCAGGTAATTTAATTATTGATCCTAATAAATTAAAAATTAAAAGATAGTCAAAAAATGATTTACACCCACATTTAAAATTGTGGAAATGAATGAATCGGGCTTTTTCCTCGTTGCAGAAATTGTTTTTTATTCATAGCTAGCTCATTCTTGTATAAGTCAGCGAGCAGTGCGTTTGCTCATAAAATAGGGTTTCACACCGTGACCAAAACTGGTAGAGCCATTTGTTTTTGAAAAAAAAAATCTGCAACGATCGAGGAAAAAAGCCCGATTCATTCATGTCCATGATCATCTCCTCGATTGTCAACTTCTGCCAACAAATTTGAAAATTGTTTTTTTTTTTATTGGAAAATCATTTCCCAATTGGGCAGCTATTATAATATAAATTTTAATTCAGCTGTCCCTGAACTAGGGTATACAATCCAAAAATTATGATAAAAAGTTCCAACGATAATAGAACATATTAGAATCAATGTCTGAAAATTGAACAGTATTCCTAGCTGCCCTGCCATTCGTATTCGTATATTGAAATATTTTCAAAAACAACTCAAACTCACTCCCAACTGTCCCAAGAAATTGAGCAGAGTTTAAAAAGGAACTATTTTTGTAGATTTTTTTTAATTTGGAACGGCAGCAGATAAAAAAATTAAAATCAGAGGATGTTTGTAATATGCAAAACTTTTGTAAGAAATTTTCTGATATTTTTTGGATTGCATACTATCCAGGGGTAGCCTAATCAAATATTAAGTTACCTGCCAAATTATGATAGAATTTTGAAAAATTTCCAGCAAATATTTGTTTTACTTTATTATGTTGGCTTCAATTTCAGATTTTTTTTTTTTTTTAATTTTAATACGATCATGTAAATTAAATGGGCTTAAAACGCGAATATATTGCACCAAGATGGTTATAAATCTCTCTTTTAAGTCTTTCTAACATTGAGATTTTTTATTTTATAAAAAATCAAGTCAAAATTCAAAGCAGAAGGCTCAATTTGCGTTAAAACGCCTAAAAGCAGCGTTCGGCGAGCAGTGTGCGACCAATGGCTCGTACGTGTGCGAGGGCCGGTGCCATTGTGCGACATTACCTACAACAGCTACTTTTTTGTTTAACCGCCTATAAATAGCACTTAGTTGCATTTGCATATCATTTGAACTTGTTAATAGTATCCTGAGGATGTATTCTATCCATTATAATAGCTAAAAACATCAAAAATTGAATGTATCATTCAATAAACTTAATATAAATCTTGAAAATTCCTTAAGTGTGCGACCACTGGTACAACCACCATAGCACTTTTACAGACGAATCTCATGTGTGGCGCCAATTACCTTGCTCTCGATGACACGAACAGTTATGAGCGCACCTTTATTTAATATGGATTAGCACCGTGAGAGGATAATTATTAGAAACTAAAATTGAATTCACAGCAGTGGGCAAGATGAACAGAAATTAACGAGAAATTAAATATTAATTTTGCGTTCTTAAAACCTCAGATAATTAAACTTTCTTAAGTTAATTAATTAATCTTATTGTTATTAAAGATGTTACAGATCTAATAAATTTAAATTAATCAACCTGTATAAAATTTTTATAATCCTTTTTTAAAATTTCAAAACAAAAAAGTTTCAAATTGTTCAAATAATTCATTTTTCTGCGAATATTTTTAGCTTTACGATTTCTTCATATTTTCTATTTTCAAATTATGAACTGTATATAATAAATATTTTTGCAGAAACATAATTTTCTCGTGCATTCTCATCTTTCGGCTTAAGTCAACCCCGTAAACACGTCCACGCTGCTCTTTGTGGAGAACTTGTGCGAAACTATCAAATTTAACGATCGCGCGGCATCGATGACATCAGACATTTTTTCTTTTCTCTCTGCTCAGCACGATAACGGTGTCATTCACTCACTCGATCCCAAATGAAATCGAATCTCGCTGGCGTGGGAAGTTGTAATTAAAGCGCCCCCCGCCTGTCTATCTCCTAAAGCGAGCAGGTTCACCAACTGGCACCGCCGTGTGCAATTAATTTCTGCCAATTAGGATAATTCTCGTCCTACTCGAGGTCTCGACTCAAGTTACCAACTGCGAACGGACCACGATTAATCTCAAAATAATTAGCACGGTGGGCCATTTAGTAGATTTTCAGTTTTTAAGCTGGCCGATTTTTTTGTCAGAGACAAACAGATTGTAATGACCAGAGTTAAAATAACAAATTCCTGCAATTCACGCATGTGGAAATACGTTTCATTTTGCTGAATTTTCATGCTGATTTTTAAAATGATTTGTGAATGGTGAAAAAATAATACAGGCTCTCTTTTGATTTCATTAGATTCGTTAATTAATAATATAGTGGAATAGAGAAAATAGGTAGTATTCAAATAATCTATTTTGTTATGTATTCGTTAAAAAATATCATTGAAAAATTTAGAATACAAAATAAACAATCATAAATTTTATAGATAAGTATTTGTCAAAAATTTCATAATCTTCTATGTTAATTGCTCATAAAGCTGAAGATAACTATCAATGATTATTGATTATTTAACAATAACTGCACTTACTCATGCTTAATTTTAAAATTGCAATAAAACCTATTGGTCAAGGCTTACGTCTAAATTTATTTAATTTTATTCATTACACTTATAACAACGACATGAAGGTTCAACCAAAAATTTTATTCATTCAAAAGTTATTATATTACAAACATTTTAATTAAAAAATATATATTTATATGAACTAACTAAAAGGAATTATTTTGGATAAAATAGCTTTTATGGTAAAATTATATTTGTTAAGTTATCAGTAACACTATAGTTAATATTAATTATTTTTTTTAGTACCTGTATGTGCAGCCTTCTAAATCTTTTTGCAGAGCCTTGGTGGAATCATGTGGGTCCCACCCGCTCAATCACATGCCGCGCACATACACATTCTGCCCAACTGAGCCATTCTCCAGCTCTGCTCGATTAAATTGATCTTTCAAAATAATAAATTGCTTATTTTGAAGTTGATTGATAGGTGCACGCGGGAATAAAAACAAGCGACGCTGCTCTCTCAACGTAATAAAATTAATTACAATATTCCCGTAGCCAGCCGATAAATTAAAATCCGATCGATTGCCGACCCAGGCGCTAATTCATATTCATGTTCTCTGCGTTTGTCCGCCAGCCATCTATCTCTCTCCTTTTTTTCTAATTTAATAGGTAATTCGTTTTCTATCGAAATTACTGGTCTATTGTACCGTGTCCGGTAGCCGAATAATAAGAATATAAGGTGGCCCCTCCGAGCAATTAAACTGACCGCCCAGATGAAGGTTGATCAAAATTATTTACGGTTCCTAGAGCTACATAGGGGGCTTTGATGGTTTGCAAACCCTTTGGGCTGCCGCCAGGTTTGTCATATGTGTTTAAATTACAAAATAAAAATTTAAAATATGGAAAAAGTGAAAAAAATCAACTGCAAATCAAAACTGTTAATTTTTCATGTGTGTGTCTTTCTTTGTTTTTAATTTTTTTTCCGACTTTCTCATGTTTGTGTGAAAAGTGTTATCAACTTATTACAGTTCTAAGGTTTAAATTTTAAGAATGATTTTTGTTTGTTTGCAATCATCCCGTATGAAAAATTTGATGTATATCCTAAACATTATTTAAATTTTAAAATTGAGATTTGCATTTTTCTTATTAATATTATTATAAATTTTTTTTGTAGCTTCGAATTTTTTGCTTCGAACTAAAAAAAAATACATATCATTTGTTCCAATCAGTTCCACTTTAATATAATATTTTGAATAAATGATAAAATATTGTCACGGTCTGAAAATTTCCAATTAATATTATATAATAATATTCTGTGATAACCTTTAGAGGGAACGATGAACTAGATTGATGGAAACAAAATAATATGAAAACACCCAGCTTTCAGCTCATGTTTGGAATTTTCCGATTAAATCTCGAGATTGCACAAGATATAGTTGTTGGTTAGGAAAAACGCACAAATCCTCCCACAGAAGGCCTCTTCGTGATCGAGAGGCAGCTCCACCGATCAAGCGAGTGCATTTTGAGCGTCAGTAATCATAGCCGGGCCTCTCCTAATTTCCATTTTAACTATCGGAATGATTATTAAATTCCTCTTCCTCCCATATTATTTATTGCTCCTGGATAATTACATGTGTGGTGCTTGGC